ATTCAGGCCATAGTCTTTCTGATTACTAGCTATGCATCTGAGAGCTAGATAATGAATAAGGAAAATGATGTCAGGAAAAGAATTGATGCTTCTGAGCTGTGGTGTTGGAGAAGAGCACTGAAAATCCCACAGATGGCCAAAACCGAAAAAATGAGCAGGTATGTACTGGAGAGGGTGCAGCTGGAGTGCTCTTTGCAAGCAGGAATGATGAGGCTACACCTCTCGTACTTCGGGCGTGTTGCAAGGAGGGGCTATTCCTTGGAGAAAGACTTGATGTTGGGAAGAGTAGAGGGTCGGAGGAGACCCTCAACTGGGTGGATTGACACGGTGACTGCTGCAATGGGCTCTTGTGTGTCAGGAAGTGTGAGGATGGTGCAGGATAGAACAGGGTTCAGATCTTTTGTTCATAGGGTTGCTATGAATTGTACTTGATTCAATGGCACCTAACAACAACAACAACAATCCTATAGGGTTGCTGTGAATTGTAATAAACTCAATGACAGTGGGTTTTCATAAAGGGCCATTCCAAGCTGCTGTTTCTTGTACTATCATGGCTATCAGCATTCCACACCCTTTTTCTATTTTCTTGGGGGCTGAGGCTGCCCTTGGGATGTCAGAGCCTGTACACATCCCTGCGCACATCATGCAGCTGAGAAACGTGGCTAGCACTGCCTGACTCAGGCAGCCACTCAGCTCCCCTTAGACAGGAGCCAGGCAGCCACTTCAGTGCGGTCAGGAGGCTGTCCTTCCCTCATGTGGCAACGGAGCACCTTTATCAACAGTGAACTTCCCAGACCCGAAGAATGACAGCAACCAGAGCCAATCAGAGTGTAGCCCTCTGGCCTGCTTGAGGACTTAGCTCCTCCTCTTCTTCATCAGTCTAACTCCCACCCATGCGACAAAGGCCAAGACTATTTCCTCTTTAAATTCAGCCCAGTCTGTTCCCGCACACTGTGATTATTCACTCCTTGGACCTGCTGGGACCCAGAATCTGCAGCAAGGAGCATCCTTCCAGCTGGATGTTTATGTACCTTGGAGTCAGAAGCTACTCATAGCTGATCCTCCAGTGGGTTTTCAGAGCCAACTGATCGCACAGGAGACTTGGTGGAGTCGAAGTTTGGGCCCTTGGGTTGACAGCGCACCTCCTTACCACAGAGGGGCTCCTAATTTCCAGGCACTAGGTTAGGCTCTTTATCCACATTCTCTTGTGTGACCCTCATTACCCCATGAGAAGGTATCATCCGTCTTTTAGAAATGAGGAAATCAAGACTCTGAGAAATGAAAGTCTTACTCAAGGTCACAAAGCTGGACTCCAGGTGGCCCTGCTGGGACCCAGATACCTGCTTTCTGAGCCCTCCCTGTCAACCTCCATGCTTCGGACTGCATGAACTCAGCCAGGCACTCTGCTGGGAACCAGAAGGCCCCGTTCTGCCTCTAAGGAACCAGGCCCCAAGGCAGGACCCTGAGTTCATCTCCTCATCTGGAGAAAATGAAGAGGTTGGATTAGGTCTCTATGAACTCCTATGCTCTAAGGCGCTCATCATACTTGATGACCCTTCCCCCAAGACCCCATTCTGAGGGGATCCCAGGCCCCCACAGCCTTCTTTCTCTGCAGTAGTAAGTACCTGCCCAGCCTTCACACGGGGAGGAAGTTCAGGAGATCCCATAGAGGTCCTTCTGGTGGCTTGGAAGTGAGGGGAAGCCACCTGCACAGCCCCTTGATATCTGACTCACCAACTCCCAGCCCTTGAAGTGCAAGCCAAGGCTGGGGAGAGACCAGAAGTTTGGTGTCTGTCTTTGGGGGTTTCTCAGCCTCCCGAGCCCAGATGGGTCAGCAGAGAATTATAGTGACAGCCCAGAAGAGCAGTGCTTACAGCCGTGTGCACATGTGTGCGTCTGTGTGAGAGCGAGCGAGCTGGGAGACAGGACACGGACAGCATGACCCTGCTCTTCCTCAGCTGAGCCATGGCAGGGTGAGGTCTAGAGCCAAGGGCTGTCAGCCCCAATCCTGCTGCTTCTCCCTCAACACTGAGGATGGTCATTCGTATCAACACATCTCCAGGTGGGATTCTGGGATGCACCCTCTCACCTTCCACGTCTATTCAAACCACAGACTCCCGAAGAGTTGGGGCCTCTCACCTGGACCTTGGAGGCTGGAAGGAGGTGAGAGGATCTAAGGTGCAGATAGGAGGTATTAGGACTGGGGCGGTGATGAAGTCAGCAGCACTGAAATCCAGCCCTGGATGCTGGCTAGCAGAAGGAGGGGAACAGGCACTCAAGGGCATGTGCTGAAGGGAAAATGCTCGCTGTCCTTTTACCACTCTCCAGGCCTCTCACGAGTCCTGAGGGTGGTGGAGAGCAAAACCCACTGCTGTCCCCCGCCCCAGGATACAGAAGGTCCCACACAAGCGTGCCCGATGATCTGCACAGACTAGCGGTGGTCCCAGGCCACAGCAGCACCCAGGAAGCTGGCTCAGGGTGCACAGCAGGGATGATGCCCCGTCCAGGCCTCTGAGAGCAGCCACATCCATTAACTGCTTTCTTGACACCAAGTGCTTTCCACTCCATCTCTCTTTTGACCTTCAATCACCACAGGGAGAGCTTCCAATTTTACAGAAGAGGACGCTGACACTCAGAGAGGAGCAGTGAGCTGTAGAAGGGAGGAGAAAAAGGAAAAAGCAAATGGATTTTGATCAAGGGCCTGGATTCCATGCCAGGAATAAACATATGAACATTCTCATTGTCTTAAATCTCTACAAGCAGCAGCAACAGCTATGCTTTATGGATAAGACACTTGGGATCCCCAGCTAGTGGGTGGACACTCAGATGCACTAGTCAAAGCATAGCCTTGAGCTCAGAGTCCCTTCATTCACTCCATGCCTTCAGCCAATAACGAACCCTCCATCATCTACTATTACTCTACTGTCAAAGGACAACATAAATGAACAGGACAGATAAGGTATGAATGCCAGAGAAACAGAGGGGCTCTGCGAGAAACTATTAGGTATCTATGGCCCTTCTCTGAAGAAGGGGCAGCTAAGAGCCAAAAGATGGTGAAGAGGAGATACGGAGCCAGTGGGTGAGGAAGGAAGGGTGTTCCTGCCAGTGGAACAGAATGTGCAAAGGATCTGAGCTAGGGAAGGCCGAATGGTTCAAGGATGGCTAGAAAAAAACAGCCTGTGACCAGGTCACACACAGTCACACGGGCTGTGCGTGACCAGGTCACACACAGCCACACGGGCTGTGCCTAAGGTTGTTACGTTGTTGTTAAGTGTAGTCAAGTACAACTCATAGCAACCCTATGAACAAAATATCTGAACCCTGTTCTGTCCTGCGCCATCCTCACACTTCCTGACACACAAGAGCCCATTGCAGCAGTCACCGTGTCAATCCACCTGGTTGAGGGTCTTCCTCTCCTTTGCCGACCCTTCACCCTTTCCAGCATCATGCCCTTCTCCAAAGAATTGCCCCTCCTAGCAACATGCCTCATCATTCTTGCCTCCAAAGAGCACTCTGGCTGCACCCTCTCCAAGACTTACCTGTTTGTTCTGCTGGCCGTCCATGAGATGTTCAGTGCTCTTCTCCAACACCACAGCTCAAAGGGGTCAATTCTTTTCCTGTCATCCTTATTCCTTGTCCAGCTCTCAGATGGAAGAGAGGTCTAAGTAAGTGACGGGCAGAGTCAGAATGAAGACAGTGCAGGAACAGGCACTGTTTTTCTCTGGTACATAAGGTCCTCAAGAGTTGGAGCTGACAGGAGAGCCAATCACCACGACCAGGTTGGGTTTTAGGAAGGTTCTGCCTGCTGTCTGGCCTGAAAGAAATGACAGCACTTGGACGTGCTCCCGGTCAGTGGAGGGCTGGACCACGAGGCAGCTGAGAGCCTGGAAGGGGGTGGGTGGACCTCAAAGCTGTTGAGGAACAGAAGTGCTGGGGGCTGGTGATTTATTCAATCGGGGAGATGGAGAGGAAAGAGGTAGCAGTAACTGGCAGGCTTTCTGGCTGGACTCCACCAGCATGGGGCCAGCCAGGGGCCGAGCAATGGGCTGGGCTTTCTCCTGCTCAGTGCTGGGACTGAGTTGCAGGGGCATCCATCCCCTGCTACTCTCAGAAAGCCCTGACTCGGAGCAAGGTTTGCCGCAGACAGCACAAGTCTGCACTTACCTCATTTACACTTCTGCTGCCCGGTCCTAAGCAAAAGTTTTTTTCCCCCTTGCTCCAAAGCCAGTGAGGAAACTCTTTTAGGAAGTTCTCGGGAACGTTTCAATAAGGTGGACCTCCAGTTAGTACATTTCAAAGCACCCTATACCACCTGCAGGGAGCTGTGGTGGTCTAGCGGCAAGAAACTGCAGGGCAATCCAGAAGGCACATGGTTCGAGGCCACTGACTGCTCCTTGGAAGAAGGATGGGCATTCTTCTCCCATGCGATTAACTGCCTCTGAAAACCTGCTGAGGGGCAGCTACAGGTCAGTTCTGACTATGGTACACAACAACTGCCTGAAGCTATTTCTGCAATACTTATCAGGATGTGGTCACGGAATCAGGCTGCGGAAGAAGACAGAGGTGATGAGTGGAGAGCTTTATTCCGTTTGCTATTTACAGGTATGTACAGTTGGTGTGAGCCTATGGTACACTATTTCACAAATTTATCTTACAGGCAGGAGGCAGCGGCCGATCCTGCTCCCAGCATCCCACAGTGGTGGGGGGCGAGGGGCGCGCCCAGGAGCTGGCCCTCTCTGAGGGCACTCGTGGTGGGTGTTGTCCCCTCCCAGCTGTGACGTCTTCCCCGAGACAATCTGTGCTTCCCACCTGCTCTCAGTGCACGCTGACAGGATCTGGGTGGGAGCAGCGGTAGCAGCTGCTTCCAGAGTCTCTCTCCTCAGGGTCGGGGTGGGGAGATGACACACAAAAAGCAGCAGTGGCCCCCACTTCCCAACAGTGGCTAACTGACATCTGACGCCCAGAGCCAGAATGGATCCTACTTAGTACAAATAGCAGAACTGGACCCCTCAGCCTGGGTCTGGGGTGAGGGCTCACCCTGGTCCCCCAGCTCCAGGCCCCCGCACAGCCCCCTTCAGGGGGCACTGGCGTGCATCTTCTCTAAGCAGCTGGTCCAGAACATCACCAGCCGGTTGTCTCTGTTGACACAGAAGTCCGTGAAGTCCTTCAGCAGCCGGTCAGCGAACTTCTCATCCCCGGTGGCGCTGGAGCGCCACGTCTTGGTCAGCATGGTGTTGTAGGCCCAGTTGTAGCCCACCCGCTCCTCACAGAACATGTTCTGGCTGGAGGAGCTGGTGGAGTTCCGCCGCCGTCGGGGCTGCCCCGAGAACTTACGCTTGGAGTAGGGCAGCTGCAGAAAGACGGTTCCTGCAAAGACAGAGGAGGAACTGAGTCGCAGTCCCGGGCAAGGTGCCCAGTTCCACTCCCACAGGCTCCGGACAAGGGGCCGGGGCCAGGCCCCCAGGCCTCGCGCTTCCGCTTCTGCGGCCACCCTCCGCCTCCCTGGCCCACAGCTCCTCACCTGTGACGTGGATGTACTGAGGCTTGTTCTCAGCAGGAAAGTTAAATGCAGAGGCAGAATATTTATCTTGTACAAAGCCAAACCTGAAGGAAGGACAGGAAGATAGATACCTAGGTTAAGGCCTCTTTGGGAAGTGGGGGGAAAATGGGGAGAGTGTGGTTAATAAGGCTCCCTGGCACCTGGAGGTAGAGCTGGAACATCTCCTTCCAGATGAAACTTGTTGTTGTTGTTGTTGTTGTGTACCGTCAAGTTGGAACTGACCCATAGCTGACTCTCCAGTGGGTTTTCAGAGGCAGTTAATCGCATGGGAGGAGACTGCCCATCCTTCTCCCATGGAGCAGCTGGTGGCCTCGAACCGCATGCCACTGGGATGGCAGTGCAGAGCCTTGCCACAAATGGAACTTAAGCGGCTTAATTTTGTTGTCACCCTCTCCCACTCTCCCTGTCAACCCTGCTCACCACTCTTCCTCCCACTGGCCTCCTCTCACTTCCTCGGCCTGTCACCACCACCACAGTGAAAAAGACCCTCACTCAGTGCTCATCTCTGCCGAGCTCTCCCACCAGATGGTCCCACTGTGCGCACAGTCCTCGTCCTATCTAGAACCCCGCTCTGCTTCCTGACTGGCTGCACCCTGACCCATGCACCCCATGCAGTCAGCTCCTTGGGGGAAGGAACCCTAGCTTGGCTCACCCCAGCCCCGCTCTCCCTTCCGTCACTGTTCTCCCCTGCTAAGCACACAGTGGGCTCTCGGGGAAGGGTCTGAACTGAAGCGGGCTGGTGCAGCTTATGCAGCATCCTTTCTCCTCAGTGTGAAGAAAACACCAGCCGGGGACTCTCTGTCTGGCAGTGGTCTAGAAATGGGCCAGAGAAGCCATTTTTCATCGATGACATGTTCTATTCCTGGCTTTTCCATTTCTATCAAGCTCGTTTGTGACAGTGCCACCTGCTAAGTGTGAGAGAGGCGGATGTGGCTGCTGCCCTCTGGGTTGAAGGGCCAGATAATAAGGAGATGAAAGGCAGAGCTGAAGGTGGGAAGCCTGGGGGAGGGGCTGGACCCCACCCCCACACAAGCTGTCCATCTACCCCGGGACTTGGTCTCGAATCCCATGAAGCTGCTTACGCGGACTAGACGGACTGACCCGTGTGTGCCACAAGCCCCACCATCCAGCGCAGGTTCTCTCGGCAGCACGCAGACAGGGCTCTGGGTGTGGCTTCTCTCCCCTCTCTAACCAAGGTTAATTTTTCACTCTGCTTGGCCAGGCATGGTCAGTAAAGAAATGCTCTGGCTTCTCTTCCTCCTTGGAACAATCTGACCCCTCACTGTCCACTTGGGGGGAATGTAAGGCAGGATCCCAGGAACAGTGGGAGCTCTGGTCTCTGGGATGGGCACACAGCAATCTCTCAAATGCTGTGATGAAGGTGGAGGAGCAGCTGTGGAAGTGGAAGGATTCAGTGTAGAGGAGGAAAGGGGTCAGACATGGAAGAAGGGGTAGATGAAAGTGGAGGAGAGGAGAAATGAGAAAGGTGGGAGAGTACAGGTAAGAAGATGGGAAGGTATTAAGTGAAAAAGACACACCATCAAGAGCATCACAGTTACGAATGGGAACCAGGTCAAAAATATGCAAGGAAAACTAAGGCTAGGCTGAAGGGGAAGAAATGGCAGTGGTTAAGAGGAAGACTTCACTAGAAACAGGACTATAGAATTACAAGGAAGATTCTATGAAGAAGAAAAAAAGCAGATTTGACAATGGCATCTTGAGTGACTAGTCAGCAGCAGTTCGATGATTGCCCAGTGATACTCAAGGCAAACAGTTTAAGACCTGCTCTTAAACCGATCAGTCAGTTGGAGTAATTTGTAATAATACTGTCTCCTGAAAACATGAAAAGACACATCCCCAACGAAACACATCCAGATAGCCAACAATCACATGAAGAACTGCTCACTGTTGGTTTTAGGTGTCATTAAGCATGACTCTTAGAGACCCTATGGACAATGGATCTGAACCATGTCCTATCCTGTGCCGTCCTCATCATCTCTGATGTGTTCCAGCCCACTGTTAAGTCACTGGGTCATTCCATCTTGTTGAGCATTTTTCTTTACGTCGCTGACCCTCCTCTTTTCCAAGCATTATGTCTTTTTCCAAGCAATGGCCTCTCCTAACATGGCCCAAAGTACATGAGATGAAGTTTCACCATCCTTGCCTTTAAGGATCACCACTGTTAAACTTTCACCAAGACAAAGCTCTTTGTTCTTTTTGTTAGTCCACGGGCTTTTCCAACACTGCAACTCAAAGGCATCAATTCTTCTATCATCCTTATTCACTGTCCAACTTTCAGACGCATAACAAATAAAAGAAGACTCTTGCTTGGATCAGGTGCATCTGTCTTTAAACTGACAGCACTTTGGAAAGGTGCTTTACAGCAGATTTTTCCCCATGTAGCTCATCTTTTGATTTCTTGATGGTTGGTACCAAGGGTGTTGACTGTGTATCCATGTAAGATGAAATTTGTTGACAACTTCAGTCTCTTCTCCATTTATCATGATGTTGCCTATTGGCCCAGTGACAAGGATTTTTATTTTGATGTTGAAATGTAATCCACTGGCAATCAGAAAAATGAAATTAAGACAGCATCTCACACAACAAACAACAGCTAATCTCAGTAAGACATAAAACAACAAAGGCTGGTGAAGGTATGGAGATAGCAACTCTCATACATTGCTTGTAGACAACTCTCATACACGCTAATGGGACTGTAAAATGGTGCAAGCACTGTGGAAAACAATATGACACTTCCTTCAAAAGTTGGAAAAAGAAATACTATTTGATCCAGCAATCCTACTAATAAAAGTATAAGTCTTAAAGAAATGAAAACAGGGACATGAATACATGTACATCTGTATTCACTGTAGGATTATTTTGACAATAATCTCTTGCGATAGCAAAGAGATGGAGACAACCTCAGTGAGTGTCAATGAATGAATGGATAAACAGTGGTACACACACACAATGATTCACTGTGCAACATTAAAGAGTAAATGACAAGTGAAACGCCTCAAATGTGGATAAATCTACAGGATATTATGGTGAATGAAGTAGCTCAGTAACAGAAGGGCAAATATTCTCTAAGTTTACTATTATAAAAAGCTAAGGAAAAAAGCCATTCTTTTATGGGTACCAGGGATGGGTGGGGAAGGTGTGAGGAAGAAAAAAGACCCAGAATGCCTTTGGCTTCAGGGCCTAGCAATCAATATACAGTGAGGGTTTACTTATATATTTTAATAAGTTAATAGCATCAATAGTGGGTAATTAACACTTATGAATGATTGTATAAAAAATGTGATTTGTAAATTTTCATTCAAATAAAATATATTTTTTTTTAAAAAAAAAAACCCACAACAAAATTCCTTCTTGCTGGATGAGATTGATGAGTTGTCTTTGCATTCATTTCACAAGCTTTTGTTGTTTCTGAACAAGGCCGAAAATAAAAGCATAAAGTGGGGAGGAGAGGCAAGCTGGGGCCAGACTCAGAGAGGGAGACTCAAGAGTGCGCCCCTCTCCTCCTGTGACTGTAGTACGTAGGAGTGGTGATGGCTGGAGCTGTTTGAATAAAGGAAGGCAACTTTGCTAAAGAAAATATGACTAGAGGATTACTGAAGCAGGAAAGGGAGGTTTTGTTTTCATCATGATTAATGTGGATTAGTCATAGGAAAGTGAATTAGTGATATGTTAGCTAAACACAGGAAAGGCCCTCCCTGGCATATATATTAGCTTCTCAGTAAACGAGATCAAGTGTGGCAGAGACCATGAAGATGGTGCTGAGTAGGGCAAAGTTTCAATATGCTGTTCCCAGGGTCCTAGTAGACTCAACAGCACCTAACAATAAACATGTATTGATCCATGTATAGTTTTAATCTTTTCAACACATGTAACAGGTCCCTTGACAAACTCTACAATTTTTCCTTTTATGTCATCCCTGGTTACCATGAGAAGCTAAGAAGAGAGCTGTATGGATTCCTTTAACTAGAAGAAGGCAATGAGGTCTGACAAAAGCAACTGCTACAGGACCAGAGCAATGATGCCTATCTTCAAAACTAAAGCTGAGTTCTGTCAGCGAAGTGGCCAACTTGCTGTCACTGAAATAGTTACATGCCTTTCCCAGAACTGAAGCAAACTAGGTTTTTTTGTTGGCAATTGCTGTTCAAGGTTAAGCACTGATACCTTCTGTGGTCTCAGAAAACTTGAAAATTGGCTTTTCTATCTATTGCATTTGCCCCAATTGGGGGCATGGTCTCCAGCTACCTTAACTGAGGACACATGGTCTTGCAAATCATCAATAGCTGTGGAACCAATATAAAGAGAGTGCTTCCACACTGCGAAAGATGGTAGTGAATAGAGGGTGAAGAGATGTGGCACTGCTGTGAAGAGACAATGGTGAGGTGTAACCAGAGGAATGCTGGAGATGGAGTTACAGTTAATGGTTTTGCTTGCTGGATGATTGAATGAAAAGCTGACCTGTAACTGCTTTGAGATAAAGTTTGGATGACTGAAGAAATCAGAGGTACATTTGTGCTGCTGAACTGAAACTGGACTTTTACTAACTGAAGACTTGTGTTTTGCTGTTAAAGACTGTGGCAAGGTGTAGCCTGATAGAACCTTGGATATGGAACCAAAGTTAAAGGTTTGAATGAAAGAGCTAACTTGTGACTGCTATGAGACAACGCTTGCTGGACAACTGAGGAAACCAGAGCTCTATTTGTGCTGCTGAACTGAACCTAGACTTTGACTTGTTGACTAAGAGGCTGTCTGAACTAACTGAGGAATTATGTCTTGGTGTTAATCTGGCCTGGTGTCAGACTAACCCTGGTTCACTATCCTGGATTTTCACTATGTGATATCCTTTGTCTCTCCCACCCCACAATCTATTTCCCTAATAAACCCCACAATTGTGAGGAGAGTCTGTGAGTCAATTTGCAACAAACAGTGGACCAAATGACGATTCACAGAAACAGAGGAGCATGGGAATGGCATGCCTGACCATGTAGCTATTTGTTTGGTACTATGGGTATTACTGATGGGGACAGGTCCCCTTTACAAAGCAGGTAAAAGAAAGACTCAGCCTTCCCCATGTTATGTTATCACTGCTCCTCATACCCCTTCTCACTATCTCCTTTTGCCAAGGGACAAACCTGTGTGCAATGGATTCCTGGAAAAGGTGCATCCGGTCCCAGTACGTCTCTGGTTCAAAGCCTACAAGAAAGAAGCATGAATGCTGAGCTGTGGTGACGAAGTTTGTGGCTCTCCCTGGGTCTGCTCCTGCAGGCCCTTCACTGCCTGTGGTACTTAGCCCTCCTGAGCCTGAGTTCTGGTTTTCCACACAACCTGTTCTCAGGAAAGCTGGCTTTCTTCTCAAGGGTCAAAAGGAGTGACAGCTGGGTGCTCGCACAGTCCCTCTCCCTAAATTGTATTAAAGAGCAACAGGACGTGCACGTCCTCAGCAAGCCCCTCTGTACCAGAAATCAGTGAGCATCAGAAATCTACTATATTAACTACACCAGAAACCGAAAGGAGCAGGCTATTCAAGTACAAACTTTGCAGAAGATGAAACCTAAAACACATAATATCTGTTTCTGAAGAGAAGGAAAACAAACAAAACGCAAATCAACCACTGTTGTGTGGTTTGTTTTTGTTTTTGTTTTTTACATTTCCAACCTTCCATTTCCCTCCAAGGAAAAGCATTATTACAAGTCCCTTTTTAGAGATGGGGCCCTGAAGCAGTTATGAAAGTGACTTTCTGAAAGGTGATCATTTGGGGAGGGGAATGGAGAAGATGAGTCCCCTCTGCCCTCCCTGCACCCTCATTTCAATGCTGCAACCTCCTCCCCCTGCTCAGTGAGTGAGGAGGTAAGAGGAACCAGTCAATGACCCCAGAGCTGCCCCTGGGAAGAAGGGGCAGAGGGCCAGGTTCTCAACATATCCCAAGGATCAGTGGTACCAGAGGTGACTTTGCTACTCTGTCTATATCTGGAATTTTCTTTCAAGGAAAGATTTTAAGGGTCCCTTTTTTAAGGGGGAGGGGAAATTCCAAAGAGAAGTGGCTTTAGTTTTGGTAGGGAAAAAAAATGTACATAGCATATTCTGGTACAATTTTTAAAATTTGATATTTACTATCACAGAAAGAGGAGGGAACAGGAACAGAAGCAGTACAGAAGCCAGAAAATTGATTTCAGATTTGAATCCTTGTTCAGCTGTAACCATGGCAACCAAGAGAGGCTGCTAGTCCTGCAGACTGGGTTACAACTGGGAGGGAGAACCATCAAAGATGTCCTCAATGCCCTGGTGAGCAATCCTGTGAGGTTATAGCGAAGGCAGAATCTCCCCTAGGAATCTCCAGGAAGAGGGGGGCGAGCATCTTTCTGTCCCCTCAACATTTGAAAACAACAGTACCAGGTGCTGCCTGGCTCCAGATGGATGGTCAGATACTGTGGTCTCGCCCAGCCACTGTGAGGTTAAATAAGTATGCACATGCAATAACTGTGTGCGTGTTATGTGTGTAAAGATCTCTTTGTGAAGAGTAAAGTACTATGGCGTCTGTGGACCCCAGCGTCTCTGTGGCGCTCAACCAGCGGTCACTCAGAACACTGCATCTGTACAAAAATGTCCTCCAAATTGTAACAAAGGGCATATTCCAAAGGGCCTTTGGAGTAAAAACTGTTTGCACCAGAAGGCGGCTAGTCATAGGAAGAGCCCAGGGACCCTTAACGTGGCCATGTCACCTGGTGACACATCCTCCCCATGTGGGCGGGGCCTCTGCTGCTGACCATGACACAGACACAGGAGCTGAGAAAGGATGTAGGAACAAAGAGTCTCCCTCATAACAAGTTATATCTCTCCTGTTAATCATCTCTGTAGCTGAAAAACTAAAGGGCTTCTGACAGACCAGCAGCAATAATAAAAACGATCATCCGTGGGCTCGAGTGCTCAGAAGGAGCTATTTATATGCTCCCTGCGATGAGCCTTGGCAATACGGCACGGTGTGCGGTGTGACGTGCTGACGGTGTGAAGGAAGATCCTCCCCTTGATGTGTCTGCTCTTGCCCTCTGAGTCTGGGTGCGCAGGGCTCACACTGCGGGTGGGTAACCTCATAAACCCTTCTTACTGACATCCCTGTAGCAAGAGCTCTGACCCCGGTTCCGCTGTCTCTGGGGAGCTGCCTCTGGCTCTGCTGTCCTTTCCCTGAGATGCAGGACATGTGCTCTGTGCAATGTTCTGGATGCCAACATGTCACAGCTCTGTACAACAAGACACTTTCCTCTTCTGCTCTCGGTCTCCCCACCCCACTATCCTTGTTCTATGCAACAGCACCTCCGAGCTTGCTGGGGATTCAGATTCCTGCAGCCTTGACCAGTCAGGCGTTAACCCCGAAAGGAGTGTGCCACTCGTCACAATGCACACGGGCTCTTGTGGCCAGCATCCTGTTCTAGGTTTACGAAGTTCTTCCTGAGGCTGGCGGGCAGCTCCCTGACACCCTTTGGAAGCTAACCCACCCTACCCACTGCCGGGGAGGCGAGTCAGCCTCGCAGTGACTCTCCGTCCTGTTTCTGAGGCTGTCAATCATCACAGGAGGAGCCTGTCCATCTCTCTCCTGAGGAAGCAGCTGGTGGATTCAAACCGCTGACCTTTCGGTACCTGACACATTACACACCACACCACCAGGGCTCACTCATTAGCAGATAGAAGTGAGGAGCTCAGAACTCAGCCAGTAAGTAACTTGTCCGGGGCTACCCAGGTAGAGGAGAGCCAGCATGAAAATCCCAAGTCAATTTTGTGCTTGATCAAAGGCTCTCCCTTGGCACTGGTCTGAGCGGATGGGATATCCAGAGAGGAGGTGTCCTTGGGAGGGAGACTGGTGAGGTCCCCACTCACAGAGACAGACAGAAGGGGAGTGTCTCTTACTGTCAAACAGGTGCTCACTGCCCTCCTTCAGCAAGCAGCTCATGTTGAGAGGGATGAAGAGCTGGGCGCGAAGCGGATCGCCGTACAGGTAGCTGGGCAGCGCAAAGGGACCTTCCAAAACCGGGACCAACAGAAAGCCGCAAGAGGTAGCTTTTCGATGCCAGCCTTGGACCTGGTGGGAAGTCAGGGAGAAAAGAGAGAAGAAAACAAAAACACCCAACAAAATAGCGTCACCTTCACATTCTTCCAGATAAGAGAAACAGCTTTCCATAGAGGGAGCCTGTGAGAATGGCAGAGAGTGTTCTCATGGGTGTGTTTATTAACGTTCATTGGCTCCAGGACAGGAGGAGGCACAGTGTGAACACACCCAACAAATACACAAAAATCTGCGTAGTAAGCACACAACTTCTCCCCGGTGTTTTTCTTCTGGAATAGGCAGGTGTGGGAAAAGTTAGTTCTGGCTCCTAAACATCCTTACTCGATCTCCAGAATGTTGGAGAAAGAACAGTCACTATAAAGTCAATTCTTCTATTTTGTCTTTCATAAAAGTAAAACTAGTTAAGTCCAGAGTCTCATCCAGAAGAACAACTCGCTCAGGCTGCCTGTGGGGAACGTAACAGAGAGGACAAGACGTCTGGGCAGCCGTGGGCTAGAAACAGTAAAAGCCTGGCCAGAGGGGCCAAAAGCTGCTGTCTAGTATATTCACCCTGAAGATCAAGAAAGTAAGCTGCTTTATGAGTTGCAATATTAATTTCTTTTTTGTTAGGTAAACATATTTTACTGTTTGTGTTTTATCCTACACAAAGAAAATATTCTTACACCTTAAGTCTCAAATCTTCAGAGAAGGATTACAATTTTCTGTAAACTTTCGTTAAAATCACAATAAAAAAAAATGATGGGGGGGGGAAGACTTGTAGTCCTTCTCTGGAGAAAATAAGTTAATGGTGCCATAAAAAGAAACCTCTTCATTGATAATATTTTTTTAGGGAGCCCTGAAGTTTTCTAGGTAATGATATTTTTTTTAATGATATTTTTTATAAACTATAAAACATAGGCATATTTTTTTTAAAAAAGCTAACTAACCCATGTGGATCCAGCTTACAATTAAAATTCACATTAGACACAATTTTTCTTAAAAATACTGTTTGGGCTGTACTTTGATGTAAATAAGTCTATCTTAAAAATTGAGAAGTACTACTCCAAATATCCTCAGGAGAAGGATGGGCAGTCCCTCCCATGCGATTTACAGCCTCTGAAAAACCTGCTAGAGTATCAGCTATGAGGTGGTCCTGACTCAACAAGACATTACAACTAATGGCGGCAATATAGGACATTGTCTCTAGTCCTCTTGGCCCTGCTGTCTGAATTCTTCCCTTATTTTGGTATTTGACATGCTGGGAGCCAGGGCTTCTTAACTAGTACCACAAATTCACACAACAACAACTCTTAACATCTCTCCTGGAGGTCTCATAACAACACTGTTTGCCCAACACCACACCTGCCCTGAAAGCGTTTGCATTTCATGTGAACACGCACCCCAATAAAATCAAACATTTAATAAATTTGGAAATTCCCTGCAAACAATAACCACACTATGGATATGAAAGTCAGACAATGAGTAAGGATGGCAGAGGAAGAATCAGCATCTTTTGAGCTGTGCTGGAGAAGAGTGCTGAATGTGCAAAGGACTGTGAGAGACCAAACAAGGATCTCTCGGAGGAAGTGCAACCAGAGAGCTGCCTCAAAGCCAGATGGTGAAACATCACCTTTCGAATGTGGGGTGTGTTGTCAGGAGAGCCCAGACCTTGGAAAAGGACATCATGCCAGGAAAGGTAGAGGGTCAGATACAGGGAAGAAGACCCCTAACCAGATGGACTGACACCGTTTGACTGTAACAGTGGGCTCAAGCACATCAGCGATGGTGAGCATGGTGCAGGGTCGTGAGGATGGTGTCACAGTGTCACAGTGAGTTGTTGCTGACTGCCTGATGGCACCTACCAACAACAAAAGAGGTTTCCTAAAAGGGGATTAGCAGCACTCCAACAAACAGATGTAAAACAATTGTGGGGTGTTTTGTTTTGTTTTTTAAGAAAACAACTACTGAGAAAAATTGGCTAAATGTCTCTGTTGTTGTTGTGTACCATAAAATGAGCACTGACCCATACCCGACCCTCTGGTGGGTTTTAAGATGAACAGGAGAATGCCCAACCTTCTCCCATGGAGCAGTTGGTGGATTTGAACTTTTGGGATTGCAGCATAGCTTCTTGCCACTAAGCCATCAGAGCTCCCTAAATTTCTCTGTTGTTGTTGTTATGTGCTGTCGATTTGCCAGCAACTCATAGTGACCCTATGTACAACAGCCCTAAATCCTGCTCTGTTTTGTGCCAGTCTGTCTCCAACACACCTACCCCCATTACCTCAGTCACTGAATCAATCCACCTCATAGAAGGTCTTCCTCTCCTGCGCTATCCCTCCACCCTCCCAAGCATGATGTCTTTCTTCAAGGACTGGGCCCTCCTTACAACATGTCCAAAGTATGTCAGACGAAGATTCAGAATCCTTGCCTCCAAGAAGCAGCCTAATTTAACCCTCTCCCGGCCGAACCTGTCCATTTTCTTAGCCATCCATGGTATATTCAATACTCTTCTCCAGCACCACAGCTCAAAGACATCAATTCTCCTTCTATCCTCCCTAGACATTGTCCAGCTCTCTGATGCATACCAAGTGATTGCAAAGACCATGGCCTTTATCAGGTGCACCTTAGTCTCCAGAGTGACACCACTGCTCTTCAGTCCTTTGGAGAGGTCTCTAACAGCAGACTTTCTCTTCGCAATACATCTTTTAATTTCCTGGCTGCTGATGCCAAGAGTGTTGACTGTGGAGCCAAGCAAACTAAAGCTGTGAACAATCTCAATCTCTTCACCATCCATCCTGATGCTGCCAATTGGCCCAGTGGTGAGAATCTTCGTTTTCTTGATATTGAGTTTCAATCCATATTGAAGGCAGCAGTCCTTGACCTTCTGCAGCAAGCGCTTCAGGTCCTCCTCAGTTTCAGCAAGCAGGGTTTTGTCTTCTGCATAACGCAGATTGGTGATAGATCTTCCACCAATCCTGATGCCGCATTTCTCCTCATAGAGCCCAGCTTCCTGGATTATCTGTTCTGCATATAGATTGAAAAGGTATGGAGATAGGACACATCCTTGGCGTATACCTTTCCCAATTTTGAACCATGCAGTGTTTCTATTTTCTCACTGCCATGCTGTAATGTACATGTCTCCGTGTGCTGTGGTCATGGCCTTTGGAGATTTGGCTGTCTGCAGGGACCTGCAGGGAGACTATTCCATTCCACTGGGTCAGGGGGCTAGTTTGGAAAAGCTGGTGTCCTCTAGCAGCTAAGTGGACAGCATCAGGACCTTTTTGATGTGGAACTTAAGGATTCAACCCTGATGGGACTCTCTCTGGAGGGAGAGTGTCTCAAAGATGCCAATGTCGTGCGCAGGCAGCCTGTAGCCTGAGTCGACAGTGACCAGACAAATCTCTTCCCTGGACACTACAACATGTGGGGCAAAACTAAGCCTACAAGTCTCAGGCAAAAATCTAGGTGAGTTAGCCAACACTATGTTCAATTCTTTCAGCCTCTGAGCTTGAAATGGATTTTTCCTGAATTTTCCAGTTGCTCTCAGCTGCGTGATGAGGGTGCTTGGGTCAACACTGGAAGGGCGTGCATCTCAGCTGAGGCCATGGAGAGAAAGGTGGTTTTTTTGGATGAAGGGGAGTGTGTGACAGAATGAAAAGATCCACATTTTAGCTACAGGATGGTTAAAAAAGATAGTACCATCCTGGCTAGTTACCACGTTACCAAACACTTCTAAATTGACGACCATGCTTAGAAATACATTTTTCTTCTCCCTCGTCTTATGTATTACCATCATTTGCAGCAACGTGTTAATACTTCTTCTCTAGCTAATTGCACTGTGGGTTGAGAGGGCAGGGTTTCCTATTATAGGAGTAATGAGTGGCCAGATGGTCTAGGAGGAGGAAGGGCAGGCAGGATGACCAGTTAAAACAGGGTCTCTCCAATGAACAACTGGAAACCCAAGTTCTTTATAAACTTTCATTAAAATCACAATTAAAAAACCCAAAATACCAGGTTTCTCTGCCTGCACGGTACTAGTGACTGTTTGAAGTATTAATTCTTTGTTGTAGGGCTGTCCTGTGCATGCAAATGGAGGATGGCCAAAGGATACAATGGAGACATTCACCTTTATAGATTTCAAACCACAGTGTTCCCTTGTTCTGTTCAAACAACTGCCTCAGTCTATATGCAAGTAGCATAATAGCGGTGTTATATACTCCCAAGTCAGCACTGACTCACAGGTTTTCTAGCAAGTTTTCAGGCTGTAAATTGCACAGGAGGAGACTGCCCATCTTTCTAGAGAGTGGCTGGTAGATTTGAACTGTGTGCCTTTAGGGTTGCAGTGCAATCCCTTACCATTATTGTGTGCCATCAAGTAAGAACGGACCCATAGCTGACCTCTAGCAGGTTTTCAGAGGCCGTAAATCACACAGGAGACTGTCCATCTTTCTCCCGCAGAGCAGCTAGTAGATTCAAATCTTTCACCTTCAGGTTGGCAGAATGACTCCTTACCACCAAGCCACCATTAGACTAGTGATTTCCAACGTGTGGTACTTGCCCTCCACTGTCCTTACCTGGAGGAAGGACAACTAGAGGAGGGGGAGGCTGGTGGGTGGAGGCCAAGGTTGCTGCTCAACATCTTACCTTGCACAGGACACCCCCACTTCCAAGAGAGAATTAACTAGCTCTAGATGCTGGTTCAAAATTGGGAAGGGTATACGCCAGGGACATGTCCTATCTCCATACCTTTTCAATCTATATGGAGAACAGATCACCCAGGAGGCTGGGCTCTATGTGGAGAAATGTGGCACCAGGATTGGAGGTAGACTCATCAGCAATATGCATTATGCAGATGACATAACCCTGCTTGCTGAAACTGAGGAGGCCCTGAAGCGCTTGCTGCAGAAGGTCAAGGACTGCAGCCTCCTATATGGATCGAAACTCATTATCAAGAAAACAAAGATTCTTAGCACCAGGCCGATTGGCAGCATCATGATAGATGGTAAAGAGACTGAGATTGTTAACAGCTTTAGTTTGCTTGGCTCCACAATCAACATGTTGGTATCAGCAGGCAGGAAATTAAAAGGATATTTTATTTTGGGAAAGTCTGCTGTTAGAGACCTCTCCAAAGTACTAAAGGGCAACAATATCAGTCTGGAGACTAAGGTGCACCTGGTACAGGCCATGGTCTTTGCAGTTACTTGCTATGCATCAGAAAGCTGGACAATGACTAGGGATGACAGAAGGAGAGTTGATGCCTTTGAGCTGTGGTGCTGGAGAGGAGTACTGAATATACCATGGACTGCTAAGAAAATGAACAGGTTCGTCCTGGAGAGAGTTAAACCAGACTGCTCCTTGGAGGCAAAGATTGTGAGGCTTTGTCTGACATACTTTGGACATGTTGCAAGGAGGAATCAGTCCTTGGAGAAAGATGTCATGCTTGGGAGGGTGGAGGGACCTTGTTCAAGAGAGAAAGACCCTCAATAAAATGGACTGATTCAGTGACTAGCATAATGGGAGTAGGTGTGTGAGAGACAATAAGATTAGCTCAGGACAGGGTAGGGTTTAGGGCTGTTGTACATAGGGTCGTTATGAATCACAGGCAACTCACAGGACATAACAAAAGATGCTGGTAGTGCCAAAACTGAGACTCACATGTCTATGCTTATTTGAATCAAAGTGAAAGGTACTGTTTCTGTTGTTGTTGTTGTCATGTGTTGCCTAGTCAGAATCAATTCATAACTGACCCTCCAGACAGGTTTCTAGAGGCTGCAAATCTCACAAGAGGAGACTGCCCATCTTTCTCCCACAGACCAGGTGGTGGATTTGAACAGTGTACCTCATAATTGGCAGTACAACTGTTACCCACTGGGCCACTAGAGCTCCCTGAAAGGTGGTAGGAGCTGAAACTCCAAAAGTGTCATGAATCTGTCCTAAGCCCCCACTACACCCCTGGGGGGCAGGCCCCAAGCCCAGCTCCCTCACCATCTCAGACAGCACAGCAGCAGTGACCGCCATCCAGTGGAGCTTGATCTCAAAGGCCGCGTTCAGGGAGAAGTTGCCGTGGTAATAGCAGCTGCACCACTCCAGCCGGTCCGTGCGGTTGTTGACGTCGACATCCAGGGTCACCGTCCTCTGCTCTGGGACAGTGGCAGCTGTGTCAGTGCGCAGCAGGGATCCCCGAGGGAGACAAAAAGGAAGAGGAGGATGAACAGGAAGAACTATCAATGCAGCGTCCAGGTATGAAATGGCACAGTCACTCAAGAGAAAATAGGAGATTCTGGAAGGTCCCTCAAAGTACCTTGCCAAGGATTCGGCAAACCATCTCTCTGAAGGCCCAGAAAAGAAATACTTACCAGTATCCTGGGCCCTTGTGGTCTTTGCTATAATGACCAATGCTGCCATTCAAGCTGTGTTTAAATAAAACTTTATTTACAAAAAGCAGGCGTAGGCTGGTCAAGTCTTGGCTGCCACAGTCAGGGAATACAACGCTCCCATTTAACGATGGATGAAGGGCCGTGCTGAGCGGGAAACTCTTCCGGCCCCAGTTATAGACTCAGAGCCTCAATCAGGCTGAAACCTGGTTGCCAGGTGAGCAGCTCTGCATTCTTCCAGAACCCCAACACGCAAAGTGAGAAAGTTCTAGATGTGAAACCTGAGCTTGGAGGTCTGTCACCTACCGTAAGGCACGTGACCCTGAGAACGCTGCTTGGTGTCCACGGGGCCAGCTCCGGAGCTGTGAGCTCCCCCATCACCGAGGAGTGGTGAGGAGCAGGTGAGGCAATGAATGAGGCGGGATTAAGGACCCATCTGCCTTCTCCTTCGGCCACCTGCACCGGCAACCTTTCCTCTCTCCCTTTCGCCCAGTCCTTCTTCCCTCCTGTTGAAGCCATTAGCTGACATGTCCTCAGTTTGAGGCCACCTGTGACACACTCTGACGTTGCCAAAGAATGTGACAGCGCTGGTGCTACCAGGCTTATTGAAACAAAACTGTCTCTGCCTTCTAGTCCCAATTCGTGACACCGCCACAGGAACCCTTCACCTGACAGTATCAATCAAAGGAGGAGCAGCAGCAACAACAACAAAAATGCTGTGCTGTCTGGTCTAAGACAGCGTCCCTCCCCAAGGGAAACAGTTCAGTCACAAAAGAAGAGGAAACACCTCATAAACACCAGCAGTGACCTCACAGGCCCCTCCCCCGCTGGCACATCTAGTTTACAGCAGGCTGGTTTGAGGAAGCCCCAGGAAGAAACCGCTGGCCTGGTTCCCCAGGACAGTGATGTGGCGGAGCAGATGCTTTGGCGGGTTTACGATGGTCACAAGACCCTGGGCTCTGCCAGTGGCAGCGTCAGGTAGGTACATTCCTGGAATGATCACTTGAGTTCTAAGAGAACTGACTTCATTCCCCTCGGGGAAGAGAGACGGCAAGTCCAAGAATAAGTGCAAACCCAGAGGAATCAACTCAGAGCATCCTTCGCTCAGCTCACAGCCAGGGGAATATTAATTAAGGAGAAAGAAATTAACACCCAGGGACGTCTGAATGACTTGTTCACAACCAGAATGAGCAGGCTCTGGAGTCAAATCCAGATTGAAGGAAGTCTTCAAAGAAATGCTCACCTCCCACTTATCAAGACTGTTGACAACAATCCCTATTAGTGGGATAACGGATGTGCTTTACAGTCCTGACTCTGGGTTCCAGCAGCTTCTCAAGTAGCGGATGTTCTAGATTTGGAGCAGGCTTAAAAGACGCAGCAATGCATCTGTCAGAGTCTCAGGTGCTCCGGCAGGCAGCTTCGGAGCTCGCTGGGATCCTGGGGCAGGGTGGGGGTGTAGGGTAAAGTGAGAGATGGGCACGTGGAAGCCACAGGGGTGCCAAACGAGAAAGGACCAGCAGCCCAACTGTCAGACATATCAGAGCAACTCTGCACTGTTAACTTCCAGCTGAGACTTGGAGAGAGGTTTAAACAGGGACACGTCAAAAGGGACAAAAAAAAAAGATTCCTAAATGGGACATAGACCTCTTCCTGCTCAATTTTCCTCAGAATAGGCAATCCTGCCACCATTAACTAACAAATCACAACAATCTAAGATATTGATGTTGTTATTGGGTGCCACTGAGTCAACCATGCTTCATAGCGACCCCTGAGTAATGACTCTGACCCCTGCCCTGTCCTGTGCCACCCTCACCAGCTCGAGCCCATTGCTGCGGTCACTGTGTTAATCCATCTCGTTGAATGTCTTCTTCTCTTTTGCCAACTCTCCACCTTTACAAAAGGGACATATATAAATCTGCTCTTCTGCACAAAATTTTTTATACTGGTTTATTTACAATGTT